ATAGAGCAAGTGACATTTAGTAAAAAACATCAAGTGACACCATTGTGGGCATGTGGCAGACCCCATCCCCCACTCCGTGTGACTGGTGCGGGATCACAGATTGAGCCCTACCCTGTGAGCTAGAGAAACTGCAGGAAGTTCTCACGCAAGGCCCTTGGGCATGAGGTCTGCACCCCCTCAATGGAGCAGAGAGTAGATACCACGCAAGTCCACCATCTGCTAGGGGGCTTGACAACCAAAAGGGAGCTGTGTTGTTCCTGGGTCTGTGGTGAGGTTCTTAAGGAAATCTTCCCAGATATTTGGGAAACCTTACTGCTTTGTAAGAGGATGGTAAAGCCAGGCATGGTGGCTTGTATCTGTAATATCAACACTTGGCAGACCGAGGCAGGAGGATTGTTTTGAGTTCCAGGCCACCCTGGGCTATAGAATGGGATATGTCTCAAGTGAGAGAGGGGCCAATAAGAAGGCTTAGCTGGTAGGGGGAGCTTGCCACCAACCCTGATGATCTGAATTCAATCCCCAGGACCCCTCGGACAGACAGAACTGAATCTCACTAATAGAGGGACTTGCACATGGGAACAGCCACACATATACATGTGTGCACAGTAGGTAAATCAAGAATAAGTGTAAAAGAGTGAACGGTCCCTGAGGTCAGACAGCCAGCGTTGGCTGCTCACCTCCACAGACACGAGCAAGCGCTCCAGCATGTGTGTATATCTAGGAATGTGCACACACGTGCAGATCCACGCAAGTACACACCGGGAGTCTCCTTCAGACTACACATGGAAGCTACCAAGACAGGGTCTGAGGAGAGCGGTGTCCCTCCCCCACAAAGCAGGTCAGGCTTCAGAAGGAACCGAGGAAAGAATGATGGCACAGGGTGGACCCCAGGCTAGCCTCGCACTCACCGTGTGCAAATGTGGAGGGTCCATTCTTCACCAGCATTACCTTTTCATTATGTTATGTGTACCAGTGCACTGCCAGCATGTGAGTCTGTGCTCCAAGTATGTGCTAGGTACCCAATGGCAGCCAGGAGGGGGCATCAGAACCCTGCAACTGGCATGTGAGTGCCGGGAGCCAAAGCCGGGTCTTCAGGGAGAACAGCCAGTGCTCTTAAGCACTGACCTCTCCCTGCAGCCCCTTTCCTGAGACTCTTGCCGGCGGCGTTCACGTGTAGAGGTGGGAGCGCCACTCTCTAGAGTCTGTTCTTGCCTTCCACCATGTGGGTCTTAGGAATCAAACTCAGGTCCTCAGGCTTGGCACCAGATGTTGTCTTCCTACTGAGCTTTCTTGCTGTCTGTGATGGTTTGAAGGAAAGTGGCCCCCAAAGGAAGTGGTACTATTAAGAGGTGTGGTCTTGTTGGAGGAAGTGTGTCACTGTGGAGGCAGGCTTTGAAGTCTCATATATGCTCAAGCCATGCCCAGTGAGACAGTCTACTTCCCGGTGTCTGCATATCAACATGTAGCAGCTCCTTCACCAGCACCATGTCTGCCTCCATGGCGCCATGCTTCCCACCATGATGATAATGAACTGAACCTCCGAACTGTAAGCTGCCACCTCAAATGTTTTCCTCATAAGAGTTGCCATGGTCATGGTGTCTCTTCACAGCACTAGAAACCCTAACTAAGACACTGCCCATTTCTTCTCTTTTCTACTGTCGTGATCTGCTGAGAGACAATGGAAAAGCAAGCCTAGGGTGCTTCCTGTTGCTATGACAAAGAGCAAAAAGAACTTGGGGAAGAGAGAGTTCACTTGGTACACAGGTTAGAGTCCATCCTGGAGGGGAAGCCGGGGGCATGGAGGCGGCTGCTTATGGCCTAATTCCCTACGGCTTGCTCAGTCTGTCTTTTTATCCAACCTGCCCAGGTGGCCCCACCCACACTGATCAATATCAAGTAAAGGAAGCATGGGCCAACCTGGCAGAGGCATTTTCTCAGCTGAGGTTCCCTCTTCCCAGATGACTCTGACTTGTGTCAAGTAGAGAAAATCTAACCAGGGCAGTTTCCACTCCTGGAGCCCTGACAGTTCCAATCAAAAGGATGAACTTGGGGTGAGTACAGGAAATGTAGGATTAGCCGGGCGGCAGTGGCGCACACCTTTAATCCCAGCACTTGAGAGGCAGGCGGGTCTCTGTGAGTTCGAGGCCACCCTGGACTACAGAGCGAGTTCCAGGACAGCCAGGGCTACACAGAGAAACCCTGTCCCCCCCAAAAAGAAAGATAGATAGATAGAAAGGGAGAAAAAAGGAAGAAAGAAAGGAAGGAAGGAAGGAAGGAAGGAAGGAAGGAAAAAGAAATGCAGGGCAGAATTTCTGAAACATGGTTGTGGACACTTGTTCCCTTATCTCTTACTCTTCGTGATGCTCAGTATATGAGAAAATCTTCTGCCGGGCGGTGGTGGCGCAAGCCTTTAATCCCAGCACTCGGGAGGCAGAGCCAGGCGGATCTCTGTGAGTTCAAGGCCAGCCTGGTCTTCAGAGCGAGATCCAGGACAGGCACCAAAACTACACAGAGAAACCCTGTCTCAAAAAACCAAAAGAGAGAGAGAGAGAGAGAGAGAGAGAGAGAGAGAAAATGTTCTGCTGTGCAGCTTAACCCAGACATCCAAGGCCCCCTGGATGTCCCGCCCCCATCCATAAGACCTCTGGCATTTAGGTATCATTTAATCTTATTCTCTCAGTTTGTTAATGGGCCCACTGAGGCAGAACTCCCAGGAGAGAGAAGATTCCGTTCCTCTGGGGTGAAGGAGGAAGGCAGGGCCTGCCCCAGCTAATTAGGAATCAATGTTTCCTAAGTGCTAATGAACGGAGACTCCCTCTCTCCTGGGGCTGCTCTTTCATTGGCCAGCCCCTGAGTATCCAGAAATTTAATTATATTTCCCCAGGAGACACCTCCATTGCTGTCCCTCAACAGCTGCTCCCTCTTAGAGCCCAGACAGGAATCGCAGTGTGTGTGCGGTGAACATATGGATTTTGTTTACTGATTGCTGTGTAGTTGTATTCCTTGATGCCTCTGTGGATCCAACACACATTTATTGAGCACCCGTTGAATACCATATGTTGGGCTGGGCACCAGGGAAACACAGTAGCACGCCTGGCATCACAGGCCATCACCCTAGATTATGGGGAAGTAGAAACAGGAAGAGCCTGAGTTCAAGGCCATTCAGGGCAGAAGAGCATGATGTTGTCAAGAAATAAAAGATAAGGCAAGGTAGAGGCAGGTGGGCTTCTGAATTTGAGGCCAGCTTAGTCTATATAGAGAGATGCTGTTTCAAAAAATTTACAAAATAAATAAAAGCTAAAAGTGGGACTCATCAACTGAGCCCCTGCCTAGAATCTACACTTCTCACCTGAACTCCTTCCTGGTCTTTTATCTCCGTGCCTTGGTTTGGGTCATGGGTTGAGCCCTCACCTAGAATCCCCCAGTGAGGGGCTGGGGGCGTGGTCAGGGTTAAGCCCCACCTAGAGTCCCCTATTGAGGGGCTGGGGGCGTAGTCAGGGTGAATCTCTGCCTAGAATCCCCCAGTGAGGGGCTGGGGGTGTGGTCATGGGTGGTGACCCTGACTGGAATCTCCCAGTTGAGGGTCAGGGGCCTGACTGAAATCTTCTAGTAGGGGTTTGGGGTGATGCCATCCCTGAGCTGCTGGTTCTGGGTTCTATAAGAAAGCAGGCTGAGCAATCCATAGGGAGTAAGCCAGTAAGCAGCATCCTCCATGGCCTCTGCATCAGCTCCTGCCTCCAGGTTCCGGTCCTGATTTCCCTCAGTGGTGGAGTGTGAACATCACTGTAAGCCAAATAAACCCTTTTCTCCCCATGTCGTAGCACCAGGAATCTGGAGAGAATCCCACTGGGGTGGGGGTTAGTGACTGCATTTGGATGTCACAGGTGATGTTTGATGACTGTTAAGGGTGCCATGACCTGCCAAACACAAGTCCATATTTTCCTGGGCTCAGTTATGCAACTAGTGGTTGGTGTGTAGGGAACACAGAAGTTTATTGAAAAAGACCCATTGGGTCTGGGTTGGGACTCTGTGGGTACAGTGTCCAGGCAGTGTGCTTGAAACACCAGGTCCAGCACCACGTACACTGGACATAGTGTGGACACCACTCAGGGAGTGGAGGCAAGAGGGCCCAGTGGTCAAGGCTATCCTTGGCTATATTCAAAGTTAGAGGAAAGCCTGGGCAAGCAGACAGACCAAGTGGAAGGAAGAAGAAAGGAAGACAAGAAAGAAAAAGTAGCTTCAGGGTGCTTTAGAAGCACCTCCTATGCCCATCCCTCTTTTAAAGGTTTTACATGTGTTTCTTTGTGTGTGAGAGCGTGTGTGTCACAGGACATGTATGGTAGCCAGAGGGCAACCTGCAGGAGTTGTTTCTATCCTTCTATTCTTCTCCCACGTCATCCTGGGAACCAGACTCAGGTTCCCAGGCTCTCCGCAGCCCCTTTGCCACCAGTCCACCATTCCCTATTTGGTTCTCCAAAAAAAGCATCGTGAGGTGGCTCAGGGCCTGAGGTTGTGTCTCCCATTCCGTCCTGTAGAAGTGTTTGAGTGACAGGCCAGTAATATGTGTGAGACATCGCTGCACTCTCAGGACCTGCGACCTTGCCAGACCCCCTCCCCCGCCAATGCCCCACTCCCCCTTCTCCCCTTCCTGCCCCAACTGCTGTGTGTTTCAGGAGAAAGGTGAAGGGAGTCCACGCTATGAGGCCGGCTGTGACTTGTTGTCATACCACATCAGAACAACAAAATCACAAGTCTTCCATATAGCACTGGCTCACATGCTCAGCCCCTGGTCCCTGTCCTGTGCTGGTCCCTCGTGGAGAGGATCAAGCCACACCGACTTACCATGTCTAAGCCTCCCTTTCCCATTCCGTCCCCCGACACTGGGCGATCTGTTCCCTAACCACCCAACCCACATCCTGCTGCATCAGCAGGGTTTATTGATCTAGGTGTGAGCGGCACACACTTGTTACCCCAGCACGCAAGAATTGGAGGCAGGAGGATGAGGATTTAAGGATCATTCTTGGCTTCACATAGAGTTCTAAATCAGCCTGGGCTACAGGATAGTGTGTGTGTATATATATATATATATATGAGAGGGAGAGAGACCCTTTTATAAAATAAAAGAACGTGAGATATAAAGTTAGATTGCCCCTCACCGCTTCACTTGGGACATCAGTTCACCCAGTGGCACTTATTCCGTTGACAGAATGCCTCTCCCGTACTCTGAGTTTGAGGCCAGTTTGAGGCCAGCCTGGTCTACATAGTGAGTTCCAGGACTGCCGGGGTTATGTAGAGAGACCCTGTCAGAAAAAAAAAAAATCCCCTCCGTAAAGGACAAGTGTCTCAAACCGTTAGAGGTCTCAGACCACCGTCTTCCCTGCACACACTCCACCAGAACAGACCCCAAGGCTGTCTCTGAGGCTGAGTACTGTGAGCTTGGTGCTGTGGGAGGCCAACTTTTGAAACCAAGTCTCCTTGGAGGCCCGCTGGGAGCTGTTCGGGCTGTGGGTGCTGAATCTGAACGCCCTCCCTGTCCCCCACCCGGCTGGCGCTGTCCGCGGCTCCGGTGCTGAAACATAATTAGCCATTCCTCCGGTTGGGTGGGCGCAAGAACAGGCTTCTAGCATCCGCCTTCCGCCTGGATGCCCGCGACTTGAGTCTGTCCTGCCTTGCAGGGTCCCATCTTCGGTTTTAATCCCTTCCCATCGTCCCAGGGAGTTCCAGGAGGGGGACCGAAGGCGCCAGGATCTCACCTGCTCCCACCTCCCAGGGAGACAGCCCCGGCTCCTCTCTCCTTCCCAGATAGTCCAGTTGGCCTTCTGGAAGATGTGCCAACCTGCATTATCCCCAAGGTCCTCCTCCCCTCCCCCAGCACCTATTTCTTCTCCCTTCATGCCTCACCTGCTCCTGTTCAGCAGCTTCTGCAGATTTCCCGGTGGCTGCCCAGGTCCGGATGTTATACTTTTATGCGCTTGAGAGGAAGGCGGAGCGCAGGGAACCCTGGGCGGGGCTTGGCCAGTCGACCAATAGGAATTATACTCGAATGAAGCTCCAAGGATTACCTCATAGGTTGGGGCCTCGGCTTCAGAATAAAAGTCTGGAATCTGTCCAAAAAAAATGTGTGTGTGTGTGTGTGTATGTATGGTTTCCAGATGGGGATGGGGTACAATCACTGGGCTCATGAAGTCTCCACGTGAGAATCACACCTACCCCGATCACTGAGCATCCAGCGGCATTAGGGATCTTCCGGTATGTGTCACATAAAGTCCAGTTCTACACAGGGAAACAGATTTTTGGGAAAACGAGGCTCACAGATGCTTATGGCAGGGCCAGGGCTCAATCCCGGAATTTGTCGACTTTTGTTTTGCTTTGAATCAGGGTCCTGATCTGTAGCCCAGGCTGACCTCAAACTTACAATTCTTCTGCCTCAGGCTCCCATGAAGCATCTGAGGTGCTAGGGCTGGAACTTAGTGCTTCCTGATTACTAGGCGAGTGCTCCATCCCTGAGCCCCAGCCCCAGCCTCCCCCTGTGACACAGCATCTCACTATGTAGCCCAGGCTGGCTTTGGACTCTGATCTTCCTGCCTCAGCCTCCTCAGCACTAGGATGACAGGTGTGTGGCACCGCACCCACCATCATTTACATGGCCTCATTTGTACCTCCATATTGACAAATTGGGGATGATTCACAGTACGTATCCTACCAGCTCCCCAAGGCTGCAGAGCTGACAGTCCCAGCTCATTCTACAGACCAGTGTAGTGAGCAGCTGTGGGGGCTGGGATGAGAACCTGGAGAGCCAGGTGCAAGGTCTAAGCTGGTCAGTTGTCCCTGTCCCTTTCCCTTCCAGTGGTCTCTTGTGTAAACTTATATGGCTCCATCTTTCTCTCCTCTCATCCCTCTCTGGGTTAAACTTGAAATCTCCCAAAAAGGTACTAAGTCATCTCTCTCAAATTATATATTTGTTTATTTGAGCACGTGCATGGAAGTCAGCAGCCAGCTTGTGCTTCCTGGGGTTATTTTTTTTCCTGTGGCTTTTAAATTTTTGTTTATTTTTATTTTATGTACATTGGTATTCTGCCTGCATGTCTATGTGAGGGAGTCATATTCCCTGGAACAGGAGTTACAGACAGGTATGAACTGCCATGTGGGTGCTGGGGATTGAACCTGGGTCCTCTTGAAGAGCAGCCAGTGCTCTTAACCACTGAGCCGTCTCTCCAGCCCAGGGATCCACATTTTAAAATGTTATCTTAAACCTTCGGAGAATTCTTTCTGGTCTGAGGGAGGGTTGTTGGGTGGGTTCCTTCGTTCACATTTGTGAAACTGTGTGTTCCATCCCAGCACATACAAACAGATAAATAGAGAAAAGGTGCCCTTGCTCGTGCATGTGCGCACTCGCACACACACTGTGCTGCACATCTAGAGCTCCGGACAACTTGCAGGAGTCGGGGCTCTCCTACCAGGTGAGTCCCAGGGATGGAGCCAGGTCGTGAGGCAGCAGGTGTCTTCAGCCCTCTTGCCCACCTCACGTCTTTCAGTATCAAGTCACAGTCATTCCGTGGGTGGACTCTGTCCAGCAGGTGTTTCCTAGTTCAAGGACTTTGAGTTTGGACTACTACCTTGTTTGGACATCATGAAGGAAACATACATAAACACACATGTGCTTCTGCAGCGTGGGTGCTATTTCCACTCCCTTTCTTTGTAATTTTTTTCTTTTCTTTTGAGACAGGGTTTCTCTGTGTAGCCCTGGCTGTCCTGGAACTCACTCTGTAGACCAGGCTGGCCTCGAGCTTGGAGATCCACTTGTCTCTGCCTCCCAAGTGTTTAATTATTTTTAAATTATTTTTATTTATTATTTGTGTATGTGTGCATGTGTGTGTACGAAAGATTCTACACACACATAGGGAGTGGAGTCTGGAGGCTCACATCTGTGTTCTCCTAGACCACTCTCCACATTATGTCTTGAGACAGGGTCTCTCACTGAAGAGACCCTGTGTGGTCACTAGGCTGTGTGGCCAGCAAGGTCTGGCCAGTTTCTGCATAGGAGCTGCACCTTTACAGCCATGCCCGGCTTCTGATGGGTCCTTCACATTTGCGCTGCCTGCACTGGCTCAGGAAGCACCTCCCAGCACTGTGTTTTAACTCTTTGACACTTGCTCAGGAAGCTCCTCCCAGCACTGTGTTTAACCCTTTGACACTCACTCAGGAAGCACCTCCCAGCACTGTGTTTAACCCTTTGACACTCGCTCAGGAAGCACCTCCCAGCACTGTGTTTTAACTCTTTGACACAGGGCCTTTGCTCTGTAGCCCAGATCAGTCTCATATTTGAAATCCTTCTGCCTCTGCTTTCCAAATGCTGGGATGACAGGTATGGGCTGGCCTCAGTTCCCTCACAGTTCTGTCTCCCTTTCTGATGCAGGCTCTGCTCCTATGTCCTGGGAAACTGTGCTTAAAGTAAAGGCCCACAGTTCCACTTTCTCCCTCTGGGAGACCCCAGGTTTACAGTGTACCTCGTGTCGTGAGAAGTATGGGTGTGGGCAGACACACAGCAGTGAAGGTTTTTAATAATCACCCACCCACACCCACAAGATACTGAAGCTGTGAGCACTAGCTAAAACTGGTGTACTATCTGAGGCCTGTCATCCTCACACTTAGGAAGCTGAGGCAGGAGGATCTTTGGAAGCTTGAAATGACCCAGGAGTAAAGAACTTTAGAGACCATCTCTTAAAAAGAAATGGTACGTGGGGCTGGAAGCAAGCAGAAGGTGTGTTTGCAACTCGGTGGGTAGTTCACTCTGGTAGTGAGCAAGGGGCTCTGGATTCAAGGTTAGCCTTCGCTCCACATTGAATTTGAGGTCAGCTTGGGCTACTCAAAATTGAATAGGTTAAAAAAAATAACTAGAAAAAATTTTAAAAAAAAGAAAAAAAGTAACTAATTTTTTCTTCAAATGCCAAAAGGCAACAAGATGTATTGAAGAAAAAGAAGAAGACAAAGGAGAAGAAGAAGAAGAAGAAGAAGAAGAAGAAGAAGAAGAAGAAGAAGAAGAAGAAGAAAGATCTAGAAGCATTGTGTCTGACTGTGTTCATCTGCATGCCCTGCCTGGCATGTGAGCACCCACCCGCCCCCAGCCCCTTACTCAGGTTGCTATGGCGACCTCTGCCCTCCCCCCAAGCCCAGGCACGTTTAAACGCAGGTCTGCACAGATGGTGGCCTTAACCGGCCTCTTGTTCCCTCTGGAAAGGACAGTTCCTACAGCCCCAAGGATTAAGGAAAACAGAACTGCTCTGCTCCACATCTGCCTGGGCCCCACCTGAAACCTGACCTGCCTGGCAGGGGGAGATTAATGGGTGGACTGGTTCCGGAGAAGCCCCACGCCACCCAGGACCACACTCAGGCTGTCCTGGAGGCCAACAGGGATGCTCTCCTGATGGTCTCAGACCCTACATCCCCAAGTTGTACCCCCCTAGCCCCAAAGGCTGTAACTCTTCAGCTCACTAGGCAAAGGAGACGATTGAGAGTGTTTCTCTGAAGGATGGAGAGAGGCCAGTGGTGACTCTAACACTAATGTTTTCTCAGCTAGGCCCTTAATGGGGACTGGTGTTCCTTTTTCTGCTGTTCAATGTGGGATAGGAGGTTTGATATGTTGAGTCAGTATCTCACAGTGTAGGTCTGGTTGGCCTAGAACTCACAGAGATCTGTCTCTACCTCCCAAGCAATGGGAGTAAGAGTATGCTGTGTTTTTTTTTTTTTTGGGGGGGGGGAGAGGATTTCCAAGACAGGATTTCTCTGTGTAGCTTTGGTGCCTGTCCTGGAACTCACGTAGTAGACCAGGTGGGCCTCGAACTCACAGAGATTCACCTGCCTCTGCCTCTCAAGTGCTGGGATTAAAGGCATGTGCCACCACTGCCCGGCGCTAAGAGATTTTTAATTCTTTTTATTTTTACAGACCTGGGAATGGAAACTAAAACAGTGCACATCACAGAAAAGTGTTTATCAGTAAGCCACGCCCCCACCCTCCTCACTGGGTGATTCTGGACAGGGTTCCAGCCTGACCACGCCCCCAGCCCCTCACTGGGGGGATTCTAGGAGGAGCCCCACCCTGACCACACCCCCAGCCCCTCACTGGGGATTCTGGGTGGGGCTCCACCCTGACCACGCCCTCAGCCCCTCACTGAGGGGATTCTAGGAGGGGCCTCTAGGCGGGGCTCCACCCTGACCATGCCCTCAGCCCCTCACTGGGGGCTCTTAGATGGGGTCTCCACCCTGACCATGACATATTCAGATCACTTAGGGAGTGTTGAGGATTCCGAGGCTAGCACACAGAGTGCATGGCGAGTGCAGGGTTGCCCCATTTGATGATGCACATGCGCTGCTGTTGTCCGAAGCCTCTGTATCGATGCTCAGCATTGCTCAGCCTCAGCTCTAAGGCCATTAGGGACAATAAAGCCTTTGATTTGAGGGCATTCTTCATCCACTGAGTGCTAGGAATTCCATTAATTGTGCCAGCCACATGTGTCCCCAGTCATGACAGAGTCCCTTGGAGTCAGAGCGCCCCTGAGAGAGGGCCCTTGCAAGGTCTCTGGAAGTGCTGTGGAAGAAAGACGCTGCAGCCATTCCTGAGGAGCTAGACGTACAAACAACGTGAGCGGCCAGGGCGCGAGTGGTCACAGGCTTCAAACTAGGCCTCTTGAGATCAAGTTCACTGGCCCCACAAATGTGCACATTCAAGACCCTCTGCGGGCCACCAGGCACCCTTGATTGCTCGAAGCTCATCCATTAGCTGTTGCTCTGTGGATTCAGGTGCCTCCATCACCAGCTGTGACATGCCAGGCTCATGTTTCCTGCCCCTGAAGCTGCTGTCAGGCCTGGGCAGGTGAGGGGCCCTAAGGTGCCTCTTTTTTTTTTTTTTTTTTTTTTTTTTTTTTTTTTTTTTTTGGTTTTTCGAGACAGGGTTTCTCTATGTAGCTTTGCGCCTTTCCTGGAACTCACTTGGTAGCCCAGGCTGGCCTCGAACTCACAGAGATCCGCCGGCCTCTGCCTCCCGAGTGCTGGGATTAAAGGCGTGCGCCACCACCGCCCGGCCCTAAGGTGCCTCTTAATCCCAGTGTCTTTCTAGTTCCTTCCAATTTCCCAGCTTACTTAGAAGGCCAATACAGGAGCCGAGAAACAGGGAGAGTTTGGGGGATACCCATTTGTGTGTCTTTGTGAACAGGCGTTAACTTGGCATCAGTGGGATAACCATCACAATCAAGAAGTAGATGTGCATCTAATTTTCTCCTGGTTCATTGCTGTTAATTCCATGAACACTTAACAACTACTGTATCCAGTAGCAGCAGTCAAGTGGATGATCACTGCTCTGTCCAAAGGAACGTGTAAAGTCATCTTGTCCAGTTCAAGAGTGATATTTCCTCCTAGAATCCCCAGTGGGGGACTGGGAGCATGGTCAGTGTGGAGCCCCGCCTAGAACCCCCAGTGAGGAGCTGGGGGCGTGGTCAGGGTGGAGCCCCGCCTAGAATCCCCAGTGAGGAGCTGGGGGCGTGGTCAGGGTGGAGCCCCGCCTAGAATCCCCAGTGAGGAGCTGGGGGCGTGGTCAGGGTGGAGCCCCGCCTAGAATCCCCAGTGAGGGGCTGGGGGCGTGGTCAGGATGGAGCCCCGCCTAGAATCCCCAGTGAGGGGCTGGGGGCGTGGTCAGGATGGAGCCCCGCCTAGAATCCCCTCCCCCCCCGCCTGAGGGGCTGGGGGCGTGGTCAGAGTGGAGCCCCGCCCAGAATCCCCAGTGAGGGGCTGGGGGCGTGGTCAGGGTGGAGCCCCGCCTAGAATCCCCCAGTGAGGGGCTGGGGGCGTGGTCAGTGTGGAGCCCCGCCTAGAACCCCCAGTGAGGGGCTGGGGGCGTGGTCAGTGTGGAGCCCCGCCTAGAATCCCCAGTGAGGAGCTGGGGGCGTGGTCAGGGTGGAGCCCCGCCTAGAATCCCCAGTGAGGGGCTGGGGGCATGGTCAGGATGGAGCCCCGCCTAGAATCCCCTCCCCCCCCGCCTGAGGGGCTGGGGGCGTGGTCAGGGTGGAGCCCCGCCTAGAATCCCCCAGTGAGGGGTTAGGGACTGGCCTGCCTAGTATCTGGGTGGTTCTGGGCTCTATTCCCAAAACTTCAGACAA